CAGGTCCATCATCCAGGGATATCCGTACAGCTGGTAGAAGAGAAAGAGAAAACCAATCTGAACCCGAAGTCAGTATGGAATGTGAACAAGATGTAGAAGACGAGGAAGATACTGTTGCTGAAAATATGTTAACAGCTCTAAAACATCCTTCACCACCTACGGAACCAAAGTTTAGGGTTGCAGAAGTGCAAGTGAATGCCTCAAAAATGTTGACATTATGTGAACTTCTAACAACTTATTATATATTATTATTAACGATTTATTGAGCAGTGATATTTTGACCTGTTTTGGTACTTATTTTTTTTAAATAATATACATATTTTTTTTGCCATACAATATTTTTAGTCATACAATATAATATTTTTACTTTATACCTATTTACATAAAAATAAACACTACCATTATATCTTTTATTTAATTAACTAGTTACTACTCTGTGCATATAACCTACTTTTATTTTCACAAATTAGATGTAACATATTAAAATAATTATTTTTTATTTTTGTTAACATATTCATTACAAAATCAAAATCGTATTCGACATTTATGATTAGCAAACTACTGTCATAGGATGCATATACTACAAAGACATATTTATTTAAATTTATAACAGCCGTAATATTTTAAATGCCCTGCATTAAGGACATTTTCCCCTTCAACCACACATTTGGAATGTATGGATCCGTCCAAATACCGCATATATTTCAAAATGCTTAATCGCATGATGAAAACCGGTCTTTTAACAAATAAAAAATGTTCACAAATCACAAAACTGTCCAAAACCAACTAAAAAAACTCGAAAACAGACACCAAACACACAACGCAAACCACAAGAAAACAATTAAATAAATGGTTGAATGATGCGGAATGCGGAATGGCTCATAGATTAGTACAAGTTGTCGCCGCTATGGCGCTGCGATCTTATTTTGAATTGCCTATTGTTAGACGAAGACCAGGAATTGTAAGGGAATGCAAAAGAGCTCCTATAGGCCGCCCAGCAATATACGAACACAAAAAAAGACCAAAACGGCGACACAATTTGACAGATAATGTCAAAGCAAATCGCCCTAATGCTATAAAACATGGCTCTGCGCATTGAGAAACATTGGGAAACCAAATGAGCATGGTCTCATACTTAATGATTAATACTGTACGTTTTTTAACTATTTATTTTACTAAAAACGTGTCTCTTAGCTTCTTATTTATTTATTTAAATATTTTTTTACCATCAAATGTTCCAAATAAAGTATATCCTGCTTAATGGTGCTCGCTGTATTGTATGCAACATTCTGACCCTCGATTTGGCGCACAATACCATTATGACCCTGAAAATAGAACAACACATTTGATTGGTCGGTCGTTTGCCGTGCCGTGGCTAGATCAACAGTCATAATGTTTTAATGCGTGCTGTAGAGATACAGCTCTCGTCTACCAATCTCAAGGTCGTGGGTTCGAATCCTACACCCGGCATTTCATCAGCCGAGTATTTTTAATAAAATAAAAATAGTTTGGGTACCTAGGTCGACTCAGCCTTAAATGAGTACTGGGGATTCACAATCCTGAGGTAATAATAGGCGGTTGAAGAGTAGTGCTAGCCACATTACCTTCCTTGTATACCGAACGGCTCTAACATGGCAAGCTGTACCTTCCTACCCCCAAGGCGGTAAAACTCTAAATACGGGAACTGTTATTTATGTAATGTTAATCAAAAATGCATAGACTTAAAGTTTATGGAGAGGTCAGATAGGGATTTTGAGAAGGGAAGATGTCTACAAATAGATTCTGAGAGAGCAAAACGGTAGAAGTTTGAGGAAGTAGATACATTCACATATCTAGGAACCATATTTCAAAGGAAACCAAATGTAACTCAGGACATTGTGGCAAGAATAATGGCATGAAATAGATGTGTTAGCGCACTACAAAAAATTATTAAGAGCAAGAACATTTCTAGAAGTTTAAAAATCAGAATGTACCAAAAAATGATACGACCAATAGTGCTGTATGCATGTGAAACGTTGTCGTTCAATGCAACGGAAACTTCGAGCTAGAGATTTGGGAAAGAAAAATACTGAGGAAGATTTTTGGAGGAAAGAAGATAGATAATATTATATAGGCCAGAAGAACAAATGAAGAATTGAAGCAATTATATCGGGCACCGAGTATAGCGGGAGTAGCAAGAGCACAAAGTCTGAGATGGCTGGGACACATTGAAAGAATGGCTGAAGCAAGAATTCCTAGTATGATAATCAAACATGAAATAGGTGGAAAGAGAAGGAGGGGTAGGCCAAGAATCAGATGGAAAAAGGATGTTGAAGAAAACTTGAGAAGGATAAGAGTGAAGAATAATGGCAATAATGGTGGAGAATAATGGCAAAAGACAGAAACAAATGGTTTAAGATAACCAATCAAGCCATAAGCCTTTTAGGCTTTTAGAGTTATTATACAGGGTGTCTCAGATTTTAATCGGGAAAATTTAATAGACGATAGAACTTGCAAAAATAAAACAAAAAGTTCATATCAACTTATAAGATTTAAAGCTTCCTTTTCGAGATACAGGGTGTTGTTACTTAAAAAAGAAAAATAAATTAAGATATTTAAAAAACTATTTAATCGATTTTGATATAACTTGACCCGTTTATAATACTTACTACGGGACTTAATTTGATGTAATTAGATTTAAGTTTAATGGCCAGGGGCGGCGGTGGGGCATCATTGTTAAATTATTTTAAAGGAAAAAATAGGCACGCTACTGGTTTTTTAGAAGTTTAATATTATTTTTGGATTCAGTAATTAAAAATATTATTTTTTTTTCTCCTGACTTTTTTGTCTATCTTGCTTACTTCTTGCGAAAAAAATTAAATTCTAATTGGTAATTAATATTACAATTGGTATTCTAATGGTAACCTGTATCTCGAAAAAGAAGCTTTAAATCTCACAAGTTGATATGAACGTTATGTTTTATTTTTGCAACTTCTATCGTCTATTAAATTTTCCCGATTAAAATCTGAGACACCCTGTATATATAAAAATTCATGAGAAAATTATGGTAAGGCTGGTTTTAACAACTAAAAGGTTGGATAATAAGGAACTAACGAAAACTTGTATGTTAGTCTAACTCGAGCACTTGGGAAGCAGAACGCTTCCCAAGGAATGGAAACCAACTTAAAGAGGAACTCAAGACTCCATCCGTATCTTGGAATATGAATCCTCTAACGCTCTAAGACACTCTAAAAAAAATTCTCAGAACTTACGACCGAGAGAAATCAAAGATTTTTCTTGATTTAAGTAAGAACGATCTTCGAATTGTCACGGGGTTTTAACAGGACACTCCTGGTTTAACAGGTCTCCTCAACAAAGAGTAAATTGAAGCTATGAAACAACGGCGATTGCAGATTCTGTGGGAAAAATGGGGAAACTAGGAAACACCAGAACACCTCATCACTGAGTGCACCGAGACAACAACCATCCGTGCTAGTGTGACACAAGAGTCTTGAAATAGTCTTGCAAAACCAAGACTCTTGCAGGAAATTCAAGACAAGACTTTCAAAATTTCTTGTCTTGAATTTCAAACCTGTTGACATCTACCATGAACTTAGCCTTTAATTATGTTTCCCAACTTCACTGATATAAAAATTATGATTATAAAATGTTCTATAAACGCACATTAAAATTGTGTTTATAACGATGATTAAGACTGTGATTATGATTACGATTTATGCAAATGTTGTATAAACCCGGCATTAATATTGACCAATGTTCATTTTTTTTCTATCATAGCCAGTGTTTTAGAGTTGAGAATGAAATAAAATAAAGTCGAGGCAACAAACCGTATATTGGTAATTGGTATTATATATACACAAAATTATTTTGGTATAATGGTATTATAAAAAAAATCTAACGGTAGTTGAAACTAATGGTGGGTTCGTGGAGCACGCTATTTGCGCTATTTGGTACTACTTTTCATGCACGAAATTGCTTCGCCAACAAAAAGTAGTACCAAATAGCGCAAATAGTACACTCTAGCATGACCTTTCCGTACACCCTGTGTCCAAACTTTTCCAACTAATCTTCCATAATAAAAAAATAAAATAAATACCATAAAAAATAAACCTAACAAACGGGTAACCAAAATAGAACATAATAAAGTAAGAGGCATTAGCAACTAGAACTAAAAAATAAACTTAACCTTACTTATTCTTATTCAGCTTTTATTTGGTAATGGCTGTTTCGTCAAACGGGCGAGTTGACGTAGTTCGTTTGCGGCCCGTTAATATTTTTTTTGCTAAAATTAGCATCGTTGTTCATTTTTCAGTATTACATTTTGTATACGGCGCCTTTCTATGAAATAAAATATAGAAATACCTTTTTTAGAATGTAAAATTTTTCAAGACAAGAAATTTCAAAAGTCTTGCAAGACAAGACAAGACTTTGCCATTCAAGAAATCTGCAAGACAAGACTGAAAATTTCTTGTCTTGAATTTCAAGACAAGACAAGAAATTGATTTTCAAGACAAATATTCTTGTCTTGTGCAACACAAATCCGTGCCATAAATTTTGGTACGACTGATATCGAATATGGAGAACTAACCTCTGTAAAACCGTCTCAGATACTGGCTTTTGTCTAGTAGTACCATATAATCGAAAAAAAAACGGCATCAGCGATGGTTATGAAATGAAGATCGCTGTCATTTTATATGCAAATTTATATGGGAGATGTCATTGATCGTCATTTACCAGCCAACTGGACGCCTTTTTTTCGATCATACGGTAGATTGTATGGGAGAATCTACATCCATATCCTACAAGTGAGAGGATCTACTATCCTTAAAAACTTAATATAATCTAATCTAACCATTATTGGTATTATTAAGAAAGTTAAGTTAAATAGGTTATAAAATAAAACTACACAACATTATTTTTATACAAACCTGTGTGAAACTAAAATACTTAACTAGTAACTAGTAAATAAAGGTTGAATAAATACATATATAAACACAAAATATGTTTTATCTCTATATTAATCCTTGGGTTTATATAATTAAATAACAAATGTATGTACAGTATGATTTAAAGTAATTACATTTATTAAGTGGGTATTTTTAACTTCACATATTATTTACAATTTAAATTATTTATAATCTTAAAATTATTTATAACCTATATCCTAATGGATTATTACAAAATTATTTGTTTTCAAGTATTATTTTAAAGATATTTTATATACATTTATTATAGTAAATTTTAGTAAGTAAATTAGTAAATATTTTTCAACAACAGATACCTATTTGTATTTTTGCAATTATGTCCATTGTAGACCCCTTAAAAATATACTGTAAACATTGTTATTACTAAATTATGAGTAGATCGTCTTGTGGTTAACACAGAAAGAACGTAATCCAACACCACCACGTCTTTGGAACCGCAACGCATCTAAAACAACATAAAATTTACGTAATAAATAAATAAATTTACGTAATTCATAAATTCTTCTTTGTAATAACAGAAGTGTACAAACGGATAACAATATACAGGGTGGTCCGAACTGTATTCCGTAAACTTCGGCAGCATATTCTGCAGTTAAAAATACGTAAAAAAGTTCCTATAAATGTATGTCCTAAAATGCTTAATTTCGGAGATACAGAGTGTAGCAGTTTCGTTTTAATTTTCATTTTTTCCAAATCATTTCTAAAGTAACGTCAATATTTGTATAAAAAATGGTGTCTGGGAGTTTTTTGACATTAGGAATTTGATTTTGATGTAAATATGACTCCTACTTGTAGAGGGCGCCACCTTCATATTTTTTAACTGGTTTGAAGAATAATAACTTTTCGTCCTTACCTGTATAAATCTACTGGGTGGAAAAAATATATATTTGCGACGTTTTTTACGTAAAAAAGATCTCTTGGTAAAATTCGCTACGAGTAATGGTTCTGGAGATATTTGGAATCGAAATTATCAATACCTGTCGTCATTGACATAAATTAAACATGTTGACTAAATAGTTATTAAACTGAAATCATAAATTTGAAATTTTTTGTGGCAACAGTTTTAAATAAAAAATTTTATCATAATTTTTTCAAAGAAAAATTTACGATTAATTTAAAAAAATAAAGTTCCCAAATTTACTATTTCAGAAATAACTATCTATACTATATAGTTAAAACACATATAGGTGGGCCCCCTACAAATAGGAGTCATTTTGACATCAAAATCCAAATTTATCATGTCAAAAAACTCCCAGACACCAATTTTCATCTAAAGATTGACGTTGCTTCAGAAATTATTTGGAAAAAATCGAAATAAAAATGAAACTTTTACACCCTGTATCTCCAAAACTAAGCATTTTAGGACATACATTTATACGAACTTTTTTATTTATTTTTATCTGCAGAATATGCTGCCGAAGTTTCCGGAATACAGTTCGGACCACCCTGTATAAGTACACTATTTGATTATATAGTTGTTAAACGCGATAATAGCAAACTGGTGTAGAAAGCTAAAAGATTAAAATATTTCCTATAATATATTTTTCTATCTAGTACAGTAAAAATCAAAAATTAATACAAATTGGTACTTAACCTTCTACATATTCCGCCACCAATAATTTTTGCAACAGCAAAACTAAAATAAAATATTATTTTTATTGATATTGTTTTTGATTTATTTTTATTGTAAATAAATAAATAAATAAATGCCTTTATTGTCAAAAAATTTTTCAATTTGTAGACAAAGGTAAACTAACAAACAAAGTAAAAAAACAAGGTACACAAACAAACAAAAGATAATACAAAACATTATACAAATAATATTGTCAGTCTTATTGTTAAAATAAACATTTATAAATGTTTATAATGTCAAAGAACAAAAAAATAAAAATAATATTCAAAAATATTTAGCTAGTTTATAGTAAAATATCAATGACCTCTAAATAAATTCATTTCGATGTCATTAGTAAATATAGCAATAGCAAACATTGTTTAGAAGATCAAATTTGATTTTCAAAATATAATTCATTTACGGCGTAGAAAGCCTTGTCTAATAAATAAGAGTTCAATGCTTTGCGAAATGAAAAAAATGATGTTATGGATTTGATTTCAAATGGCAGGTAATTGTGCATTTTTTTCGAGTTGTATAATATTGAACTTTTAACTAACTCTGAGCGTGGGGTAGGTAGATAAAGATCTTGCTCCGCGTTCCTGAGTGGATAAGTGTGAGATGGCCTTTCTTGAGAAGCTTATACATGTTTACGTATTAGGCAAACGGATTCAAATATAAATAAGGAAGGAAGAGTCAATATTTTTAATTTTTTAAAAAAGTCCCGGCAATGAGTTCTGTTGTTTAGTCCCAGTGAATATCGAACAGCTCTCTTCTGGAGCCTGAAAATGCGGTCAAATTGAGTCGCAAAACACGCACCCCAGAATGGAAGGGCATACCTGAGGTGCGACTCAAAAAGTGCATAATAAACAGTTCTAGCCATTGACAAGTTAAGCTCCTTAGAAACAGACCTTAATGCAAAACAGGCAGAGCTCAATTTTTTCGACAAAGCTTCGATATGTATGTCCCATTTCAGGGAATTGTCCACAACAAGCCCTAAGAATTTTACAGACTTGACGACGTCAATGGTGGTGTTGTTAAGTACAAAAGGCTGCAACGAGTTTTTATACGACAAAGCTTTAGTTTTAGAAATGTTGAGACTCAGGAGGTTCGAATCGCACCAAGATTTAATGGTGATTAAGTCATTTGATATAATCCTATGAAGTGCCGTGATGTCCTTGTTGCTCCAAGTGAAGCTAGTGTCGTCCGCAAAAAGACATATTTTGCCACTGATGTTTATGTTAGCAATGTCGTTAATAAAAAGAAGAAACAAAATAGGGCTAGTACTGAGCCTTGTGGTACTCCACATTCTATTGGCTTGCTAGGAGACAACGTGGTATCCACCCTCACAAGTTGACTTCTGAGCAACAGCTCAGATACGACTTAAACCATTCGAGAGATGATCCCCTGAACCCATAGTGCTGCAGTTTATTAATTAAGATCTTATGATTTACACAATCGAACGCCTTAGAAAAATCACAGAAAATTGTTGCTGTAGAGTGATGGTTGTTTAGGCTGGAGTAAACTTTATTAAGGAGGGAAAACATAGCGTCATTTGTGGACTTGTTGCTTAGAAATCCAAATTGATATTCAGTAAGTATTTTGTACTTAAACAGAAAAGATACCAGCCTTCTTTTAACCAACCTTTCTATGATCTTAGATAGCGTTGGAAGGAGTGCAATTGGGCGATAGTTAGAAGCTTCATCTTTGTCTCCTCCTTTATGCAGAGGAATAATTATTGCCGTCTTAAGACATTTTGGAAAAATACCATTTTGGAACGACATGTTTATTAAAGTTGTTAGGTGATTCACAGTGCTCTCTGGCAAATTCGAAAACATTTTTAAAGTTAGCCCGTCGGTCCCAGAAAAGGATTTATTTTTGATGGTAATAATTGTACTGCGAAGCTCTTCTAAAACTACGGGCAAAAAAAAAGAAACTGTGTAAGTTTACAATATCAATAGAGAGATAAGAAAGTGGATCATGAGGAGGACATATGGTATTAGTTAAGACTACGCTCCTGTATTCTAGATAAAAAGTTCAATAAGAAACAGTTTTCACCTTCTCAATACCTTTCAGAATAACTGGAATAAGGGGGTGGCCCAAATTGTGCAATTTTCAAAAATACCCTGTAGTTCAAAAACAAAAAAGACTATAAAAATGTTGTTTGCAGCATCTTCTGTTTGGCAAAAAAGTTTGTCAGGTTTGATAAAACCGGATCCTCATAAAGATACACCAGGCAGTTGTCGATCATTTTAATTAACAAGTAAAAGTGTAATTTCTGCCATTTTTTAGATGTAATTATGTAGAAATTTTCCCTAGTTAGTTGGACAGACTGTATATTAAGTAGTAACAAATAAATAATATCTTACATATCAGAGCCAACATCTTCAGAACAAGTTGTCTTATTTGGACAGTTAAATATGTCTCCATAAACAGGAACAAGTAGAACAGACCAGCATTCTTGGTACGTTGTTTTGTTAACACACTGTATTCCTTTTGAAGTCACACATTCTGAGCGAGTACCAAACACAATGAATAATATTCCGAAGATAATAAACTAAATAGGAAAAAATAACGTAAAAATATATGTTGTACTTCTGAGAAACCTAAAAACTTACCATAAATCTACGAAGCACACCCATCGTTTTCATAACTTTTTCTGAAACTAAACTATACGTATTTTACATAAAATTTATTGTTCTATACCTCTCTTCTATGAGAAATATTTACTAAATTATAAGGTAATAAAGAGGATTAAGTACTTTACATGTATTTGCTTAAACACGATATTACCATAAACATTTCCCAAGCCTTATCGTGATTTTCTACACAATAAAATAAAAATTACCTGTAAACATTTTATTTCTCAAACGTCAGAAAAGTATTAATTTTTTTAACGTATCTGACAACATAAAAAAGTCATTTTAACGCCTACACTGCACTCAGAAAAAAATGCATTGTAAAATCACGTTAAAATAATTTACCTAATTATTTGTTTCATAAACGATTGCTGATAATATAATATTGTTTTATATACATAATAAAAATTAAAGCATTCGAAATAAAGTGAATACTATTTTATCGGATATCTAATATTTAGTCCTTTTATAGTAATTATTTTAAAAGAACCATGTTCAAAATAAACTGGCATTGCCTTATTATTTTGGCTGTACTTAAACTGCCGTTAAACGGTAGCCTACTGAAATGCCGTTAATAGGTATGACGTCGTTGATGTGACGCACTTGCAGTGGTGAAGCTATGGGGGGCGAGGGGGGGGACGCTCCCCCCCCCCCAATGTATAATTGAGTTGGGAAATTAGTCATGACAACGCGACGTCTAAATCCCAAATTTGTCAAAAATAAAAAAAAATTGCCGCAGCACTAATGTGAAGCGGATATTGCCATCAACTTAGATTTACAAAAAATAATAACAACTTGGGCCACATATGTATAAAATCCTTAAGTGACTGACATACTGATTAATCATGATCCTGCTCAAACCACTCAACGTAAGAATCTCAATTTTGGCATACAGGTTGATTCTAGGGTGTAGAGGTTCGATAAGAAGGGATTTTTCGAAATTCTAGTTCCAAGAGGGTGAAACCACCCCTCAAATATTACAATATTTTTTTATTTAAAAAACGGTCAAGTTTCCGAAAAAACGCTTAAACACGTATATTTTTGTTTTTTTACATATTTTAAGATTTTTTAAAAACGTATACAGGGTGTTTCGAAACACCTGGTAATTGATTAATCACGATCCTGCTTAAAGTGCTTGACGTAAAAAGCTGATTTTTGGAAAACAGATTGACTTTAGGGTGTAAAGGTTCGACAAGAAGGGATTTTTCGAAACTCGAATTCTAAGGGGGTGAAACTATCCCTCAAATATTAAAATATTTTTTATTTAAAAACCGGTGAGTTTTTCGGAAAAACTCTTAAACACGTATATTTTATTTTGTTGTTTTACATATTTTAAGATTTTTATAATATAATAATATAATTTATACAGGGTGTTTCATAAAATATGACCATTGAGTAATCACGATTCTGCTTAAACTGCTTGACGTTTAAAGCTGATTTTTGGCAAACGGATTGACTGTGGGGTGTAGAGGTTCGATAAGGAGGGGTTTCTGGAATCTCAAATTCCAAGAGGGTGAAAACGCCCCTCAAATATTACAATATTTGTTATTTAAAAAACGGTTAGTCTTTCGGGAAAACGCTTGGACAAGCATAATTTATTTGTTTTTTTACATATTTTGAAATTTTTTAAAAAATCATACAGGGTGTGATCAATCAAGAAAAGAAAACTTAGATGGCTGCTTAAATATACTTAAAGCTAAATACGGTAAACTAAGACATTCTATTATCGTCTTATTAGTCCCCATAACTACTCTGTTTTCAGGTGCCAATGTAGCTGTTTTGCGAGACGAAGACAATAATTTCAGAGGACTTGTCATTCAAAGTCCAACCATGAAAAGTACAATGAAGGCTTTTCCAGAATTTCTTACAGTAGATGCTACATATAAATTACTTAAAATAGGATTACCTGTTTTTCTCATAAAGGACGTCCAAAAGGACAGGACTTAACAGTCATAGGACTACGATGTACTGTAAATAGGAAAAGATGTACTGTAGCATTTGCTAAACAATCCTATCATGAAAAACAAAATGTAATCCTGAATTGCTTCGTTAAGGATCGTAACATCGCTAGAGACATCACAAATTTCTTGAAACTGTAGACCTTAAAATGCTCCCCGAAGAAATATCACATGCCGTTCTTGATGAGGCTGTTGATATCCACATGATAAGGTAAGTCTAGCGATACCTAATAATTACCAAATTAATAACTAATAATGTAAATTACGATTTTTAGAAGTTTTTGCACCGAGAAAGCCTTTGAAAAAATAACCAATCTAGTTGAGCAGAAACGACTTCAACAAAGTTGGTTTTGTTCTGTGTGCAGTGAAGACACGCAGAAAAATCATATGTCACTTTGTTGCAGTAGATGCCTTCTATGGAGACATATCCGTTGTGCAGGATTGACTAAGCGACCTAAATCAAAACTGTGGTTTTGCAGAGAATGCTATCTGTAGCATTATTATTTTTAAGTTGACGTAGTATTATTTTTAAGTTGTCAGTTTATAATTTGCAATAAAAACCTGAAAACCAATGCCATATATTACATTTTATCACAAATACATTTTCAAACCTACAACGGCAACATATACGTCTACCTACATATACACCGTTCCAAGTTAATTTTATTCAGAATAAGCCATGACATTGCATGACATTGCACATTACATTACAAATTATTAAGTATTAATCAGTAGCCTACTCTGCATTAACGATTAACGGCATTTTAGTACGCGACCGTTCGACGGCATTTTAACGAAAGCATTAAAAAGCCGTCAAGTGCGTCACATCAACGACGTCATACCTATTAACGGCATTTCAGTAGGCTACCGTGTAACGGCAGTTTAAGTACAGCGATGTAATTAACGAAATATCATCGGTAACAACAGCTATTTTAGAAACGTCTAGGTTTACTTATTTCACTGAGATTTATGAAAAAAAATCCTTTGCCTCCGGTACAAATACCGCCACGTTTTGAAAATAGCTCAAAACAAAACAAAATTGAACGAGGCAACAAAAAACGCCAAACGCAACAAAAAATATCCCCCCTCGCTCTCCTCACGAGTAGTTTTCAGGCGCTTTTAAGAATCGGAAGTAGGTCGAGGCAAACCGAAGTGGGCCAAGTGTGGCCAATACAACTGGAAATAAATCGAAATGCATTCAAAGTTAAGCGACGAAATGCGACCTTGACATGGTTCGAATTGTTTCTGACATAGTGTGTACGCTCTTTAAAGCTTATTTAAAAACAATCTAAAGAATTATTAAAAAAAGGTTTATAAAATGCATCAAAACATTTTTAATCGTAACAATCAATCATAGTGATGAATTAAAATCCATTTCACAATAAATACAACAAACAATATAAAGCTAAATTACAGTCATCGTGCAGATTGTCCCTTTCAAAACTGCACCAGGACCCAGGTATACGACTGCTCATATCTAATTTCACAATTGCTATCATAATTCAGGGCAAATTAGGGATAACGTCACACGTTCCTACTCGGAGAAATTATACACAATTAGCAAACGTACTGATGTAATTTATAGTCGACGTTACCGGAGTATTATTCAACCGAAGTTTTAGGAAAATTAGGAATAATTAATAATACTAAAATTCCCGTGTGTTTAGAAGGTTTGGCGATAATTTTTCATTAAGACCTGGCAAGTGTTGTATATTTGGAATGTAATATATTATACATATGGATGGGGGTTCCAGGAATGTATATTAATGATATACCAACGTATGATCGATAAAAAAACGCTGTCAAAGACGGCTAGGGAATGACAATCGATTATAATTTTGGCGAGGTCAATCTCTAGACGTCATTTACTAAATATTGACAAAAATCTAATTTAATAGATTTTTAAAACAAAACTTAAATAGCAAATTTAAAATATTAAACACATAATAAAAAAACACAAGTTGAAACATTTTGTGTTACAACACAGAAAATTACAGAAATTGCCCATCATAAACCACAATAATTTTTAAGTCTGAAAATACCTTGTGTTAACCATATTAACATTAATTTACTTCTAACAAGATTTAATCATCTTGTGATGATGCTAGTTGATATTCAGGAGTAATTCATCTCCAAATTTAAGAGTAGCCTACAATAAAAATTCGAAATGAATTTCATAATCGCCTAAATTCTTCAATATCTATAACATATCCCTTCAGCGGTGTTAAGCCTAATAGAGGTCACTGTTTACTGACAATCAAGTCAGCAATAATAGTACTAATGGCATTAGCCGACCCATAACCATATCAAATTATTAAAAATCATTAATTCAGTTCTTAATGTTCAAAAGAGTATTCTTGGTCCAATTATATCCATGAAAGCTGAAGCTGATGTGCCCTATTTTAGTATGGAATCTATTATATCAAAAAAAAAAAAATCTGAATTAATAAGTTAGATTCACTGTGATTATTCCTGAAATCATACATTAGATTAAAGCAATTTTGTAGCCATCACGTAAAATTGCATATCTTTTAGGATATCAGAAAGTTAAAAAAACACCTACAAATGATGTTATAAGAAAAGAAGACTATGGATTCATGGAAAAACATCTCTTTTTAAATAAATTTATGTCAATATTTGAGTTCCAAGAACCTAGAAGACTCCATCCGTAACCTGGAATGGGAATCCTCCAACGGTCTAAGACACTCGAAAAAAGTCTCTCAACTTACGACTGAGAAAAATCAAAGAGTTTACTTGATTTAAATAAAAACAATCTTCGGATTGTCGCGGGGTTTCTAACAGAACACTGTCTCCTCAACGAACACCTCAGTAGATTGAAGATGAAAAACAACGGCGAATGTAGATTCTATGGGGAAAATGGGGAAACACCACAGCACCTTATTACTGAAAAGCATTTATCAGCCGTACACTTGCTTTATGTGCGAATTTTCTGTTTAAAGCTTGTCAGGCCAAGCATAAAATAATTAACTAGAAAGAAGTGTCAACTCTGTGTTAAATGGTGGAAACACGATACGCCACCGAAAGCCTTCGTTGTCGTCTGGAGAACTAATTTTCCAATTGACAGGTTGACATGATAAGGACATGATGGCTTAATTTTCATTTCCGTTTCCGGTTATTCAATGGCGGGCCTTCTTTCAGTTCAAATGTATTTTGTATTTTTTCTTTTCATAAATAAAACCAAAAAATAATTTATTCACATACATTTATTTGAAATATGGAACAACGTGACTAAATAAATATAAAAATATAGACGATTGGGTATACCGACGATTGTATTGTTTCAATACCAATTAGTTAATTATATGCATTTTTAACATAAATTAGTTAAGGTATAAGCATGACTTACAGTAATTTGTAAATAAACACACGTATTCGCAGACTTCAAGGACAGAAAACGGACACAGGAACATGAAAACGGGAGCCTTATACAAAAACCTAAAAACAGAAAAACAATTTTTTTATACTAAAATTAACAATGTAAAAATATCAATAGGTATAAATATGCTGTTTAAAAAAAGCGTCCATTATTCCCAAAGAGACCTGGCTTATAAATCAAAAAGAAGCAAAAAGAGACTTTTAGTCGGATAACATAAACAGATTATCAGTCCGATTTATTGCATTATTGACAATAAATCGCACATACTGGAGATAACTAATGTTGGCTATAGTTAAAAATGATCTTACCTTGCTGTAAATTGTTTCCATTTTCAAAAAAATCGCCGATCAAAGAGATTATAACACCATTTTCTTGCATCTAAAAAATGTAAAAACAGTGTTTATTTACTACCTATTATTCATATACATGGGACATACCTAACTGCAGAAACGTTATTTTCTCTAGGATTCTTCATGTAATATATATTTTATATACTTTATTACCTTTATATTTACAAATTTCAGCGGAAATATTAAATTGAACTTCCAAAACGAAACTAAACGGAATGAATTAAAATGGCGTCGAATATTTGTTCTAGAACAAATCTGAAGTTGTCTCTAAAACTGAAATCTGTCAATTCTAAACTGTGAAGTTAGACAATAGTTAGACAAAAACAATGCTGTCCTTTTCTAGGCGGCCATACTTGTCGTGAGGAGAATGACAGGAATGACACTAATGACTGTTTCCAATTTTCCTATTTCACTGTCACCCCCCTGAGGCCAAGTACTAGCGGCATTCGTCGACTGGTTTCGGAGTTATGCTGGAGCATAACAGGGCGACTGTGGTAGTCTACCTCGACGTGGCAATTGTGGCAAACTCCAAACAGAAAATGCACATCAAGTACATTGCAGTACTTGTCTATAGCGAGAACTAGATATTAACGCCATCTAGTGGCCTTCGTCCAACTAAATCACTGGTACATAAATGCCTACGCATTTTCTTTATACGCCCTGCTAAAACGCCCTGCTAAAAGATGCGTACGCACCTTATCACTGAGTGCACGAGACTACAACCGTTCGTGCCTTTGGTACGACGGATGTCGGAGATGGAGAGCTGACCTCTGTGGAGCTGTCTCAGCGGTCTCAGATAGGCTTCTTCTCTGTTAGGCTTCTGTCAAAGCCCTGAGACTGTATGATGAGTTATAACTCGTTAAAATTCAAGAAATGGGAACAAAATAGATCTGTAAGGTCGCGGTGACTAACCCCCTCCTAAACCTTCTACATTGTACATATTTGAGTGCTGTGTAACTGTAGTATTCAACAAGAGAAGATATGACAGAAGTTGTCTGTCATTTTAACTCACAGATAAATTGAATTTCCGGTAATTTTTTAGATGTGGTCTGTCGAAACCATCCCTAACTCAGACGACCGGAACAAGTAAATTTTTATATTAAATTGAATAAATCTTTCAATCTCTTTCATTTAATATTCAGAAAACAAAATTATTTGTTTAAAAGTACTTACTGTATGAAATAACTTTCGCAATTCATTAATTTACCTTCAAAATACATTCCTGCAATTATCAAAACACATACAAAATAGATAAATCAAACCAAACTTTTCTTAAACCAGGACTTTACAAATATTTTACCAATATCCTGAAAGCAATCTCATAAAACAACTCCACTCCTTGCCAAGAGCCTTCTCTAACTCGTTATAACAAGAACTATAAATCAGAAGTTCTTGAAAGAACATTAGTAAAAACAGCAATTGTTTAAGATGAAAATTTTGTCTGCCATCTGAGACTGTCTCCTAACTTTAGTCGTAAATAATATTTAATTTGGAAGGTGTGAAATAAAATTTTAACAAAACTGGGTATATATTTAACAATCTTCAGCTTATTCATAACATACACACTTAAAAAATAAGTATAAAGAGTTGATCTTAAATATAATAATTTATAATTCACTTTAATGAATGTATTTTAATTGTCTTCCTAACAGCATTGCTGAATCCTTCCTTGTATTGATACCAAATATCGCTCTTCAGGGCGTTTTGAGCTGACTTTCCTAAAAATAAAAGAAACCCAACAGTAACTTTTTATGAACATATACCAAGGGCTGGCAAAGGTTAGTTTTGGGTCAAAGTTTCCATATGTATGAAGAGTACAATGCGTTAATAACGTACTGAACTAAAACAGAACAGTTAAAATATTGCCAAACGTATGATATAAACCGAAAAACTGTGCACATTGCTTAAAGACGTGGAAGGGGACATGGCAAATTTCTTCGCGGTGTTAATCTAACCTAACCGACAGAACTTAAAATTCTAGGAAAGGGTGTGCATCATGCGTTCAGCTTCGCGATTTAATTACGTCTCGCGATACTTCATTTGTTTATTTATTAACGAGTCGTAATTTTCCCTATAGCTTGTAAATTTTTAGGTACAAGTTAGAAACACTCGTACTTTTAGTAAAAATAAGTAGAATTGGTGTTCGACAGTGGTCGCGCTATTAGAACTCTGAATTCAAAACTCGATATCTCGAAATCGATCTCTCGAAAAAATCGATATCTCGAAATTCATTAAGAAACAATTGATTGTAGTTTTTCTCAAAAACTTTCTTAATATTTCTGCTATATTTTCTTCGCAGACAATACGTGAAAATCTTTATAAATAAAAAAGTTACATGATTGCTGAAAATTGCTATGCACTAAAAGTACATGGACGAGTTTTTTAAAATTTTAGAATGGAAAAAAACAAACCTATCGAATTTTTCTCATTTAAAAATCTTGTAAAAGATCCGATCAAAATAAAAAAGTTTCAATATCTAAAGTGGTTCTTGAGTTATCGCGTGTTATGTGTTAAAAAGTTGAGTTTTTAAATTATCGCGATTACTGACTTTTTCTCGTTATAAGAAAATGGACACCCTAACGATATTCTTATAATTCCATTTCAGATGCTCAGAAACATATCTAAATATCTTTTCGAAGAAAAAAAATCTTTTAAAAATAAGCGGTTTGCGATCGTGATTTCACTTTACTTGATAGGAAAAGGCGTAATGGAGAAATGTGGCAACGCCGCAACAGCACACCGTCGCATTTCTCTCACTCCGACTTAATAAGATCCCTATGCGATTTACTTCCACACATATGAATACCGACCCAAAAGTAAGAGTTGCCAGCTCGGTATATAATTCCTATTTTTTTCACTATACTATTAAAAAAGCATTTATTCGTGTATTTCTAATTCATCAAGTTCATCATTATCTATTATAATAGAACTATATTTTAGCAACAAGAAAAATATAAAAATATAATGACACCAATACTGTATAAATAAAATTAAACTGTATTATCTTCCAAAAGAAAATGAGAATCAGAGTTATTGAAATTATGTAAAAATTATCATTATAGTTAGTGATGGGCATTACGATTCTTTTTAGTGAATCGAATCACACGATTCAATTTCTCATATTGAATCGACTCTTACGATTCGTTCATTTAAACGAACCACATGCACAATTTACGTTTCATAAAAACAAGAATCGTAACTGGCACTACCGGCGATAATTTGGTCGGACTTACTTAAGGAACCACTTAAGAGACCAAGAGAAAAAGAAATATACAGTTCTTTTATGTTTTTTTTTTCAGTATTTGTTTTTTTTTTCTTTTATGACATTGGCGTAATTGGACTGATTATTTTACCAATAATATTAAATTATCAATCCAATTCATATATACGGTTTATTAAAGACTTCTTAATACCAATTTAATATTTTTAGAGCCATATTTTAATTCCGATTTAGTAATCGTAATAAATAGTATATAATATACTAAAAACCACAGATAAATATCGCATGATTAAAAAAAATGGCGTTCAGTTGCCTTGGAAATTAACATCAATGGCATTCCCTATATAATTTTACATATACAATGACAGCGATCTTCATTTTATAACCATCGCTAACGCCGTTTTAGTCCCACATTTAATGGTTTTTAGTCGGTAATATTATTTTAACAAAAATATTAACGTGAAGATTAAATACCTTACAGATACTCCCGTACTAAGCACAGTATAAATAAGTTTTTTTCTTGTAAATAACTTTCTTATCGTTTACATTTTATGCCCATGATGTTTGTTTAGGGCTTTTGTTCAAGTCTAAATATTGGTGCCTGACTCTATGCCTATATCACCGCCGTCCGCCTTAGAAACGAACGGTCGCATTGTAATCTGATTCAGTTCTCACGATTCTTTTTTACGGCGCATCGTTCAAATCTTATGGATCCGTGCTGGCCACGATTCAATTAAACAAACCGTATTGTAAGCAATGAATCAATTCTCACGACTCTTTGAACCAACGATCGCATTGTGATCCGATTCAATTCTCACGACTCTTTTTTACGGTTCATCGTTTAAATGTTATGGATCCGTGCTGGCTACGATTCAATTGAACAAACCATATTGCAAGCAACGAATCGAATCTCACAATTCATTTTTAATATTAATTTTTAATACTCGTTCAAATGAACTACTCGTTCAATCTTTGCCCACCTCTAATTATAGTAGTTATATTACTACTAATAATATTTTACAGTTATGTAATCAATTCTTATTAATAACGATTTTATCAAGAAAACTTTATATTAAACGCCTTCCCGCCAAGACGGCTTCTAACAAAAAGCGATTAAAACAAAGCCGTTTTATTAGAAAATGGCGCGAAAATCGAAATTAATAACTGGAAACGGGGGACCGAACGAGATCCAGTTCTGGATCGAGACTGGAGGTAATTATCCGCCCGCCCGAGCGGTAATTTATATCATCAGGAACGAGATGTCGGTAATTGCCTCCAAATGGAATCCACTTCTATTGTTTGCTTACCGAAATTACAATTTGCCTTATTACTCTTCTCTGCGAATCGCTGCGGGCCATCAACCATCATTGTTTTAGAGAGGGAGGATTCCAATTCGAAAATTATATTTTAGTACGCGGCGCTTACGTCAAATACGTCGTTTTCCATCATTCGTCTATATTGTCGGGCGCGTAGAATATAAATTGTTTCCATATCATTGTGAGTTATCCAAACCATCACAAGATGAATATATTTCATGTTGTGAATTTATGTAACTACATTGACGTACTATACAATTGTCCCAGATAAATTACCCATCATATGGGATTTTTTACTAATTAATTTAATGTTACAAAACTCTGCTGCTCTTAGTCCAAGAGCCGGGTGCAAAAACATGTTTTCTTCATTTCTTCAAGGCATAAGTGTAATTTTAATTAGTACCTCCAAACTGTTTTCTGAAGGCTGAAAATTTGTAGATAACATACGAATGCAATGCAAAACAAAAATATAGTAACAACTAGACAGAGAAGTATGAGGACCAAAAGCGTTGTTTTCTGAAGGCTGAACCTTTGCAAGGTAATAATGAAAACAATATATTTATTAATAAAAACAGTCAGACTTGTCGATAATAGAACCCCGTCAGTCAGCAGCTGATGGAAGTGAGAATAGTGACAGCGCGCGTATAGGGCGGGTCTTTACTCAATATACAGGGTGGTCCGAACTGTATTCCGGAAACTTCTGCAGATAAAAATAAGTAAAAAAGTTCGTATAAATGTATGTCCTAAAATGCTAAGTTTCTGATATACAGGGTGTAGAAGTTTCATTTTTATTTCGATTTTTTCCGATTTCGATTAAAGTAACGTCAATATTTGGATGAAAATTGGTATCTGGGGGTTTTTTCACATGAAAAATTTGATTTTGAAATTAAATTATGCAAAATTCCAAGCAACAAAACCCGTTCGTACTATGATGTGCGACCTATGAAATGCGACGTGAGACTGATCCACAGGACTGATCGGACTGCCGACTGATTGTATATACCGTCCTTCGTCATCGTCTTTGCGTGTCGTTATTATTTTTCATCAAAAGAGAATTTAGCTATTGGAAAAATGGCCAGGTTTCTTGAATGAAGTACTTCCTAGCGTATTTTTGTTATTATCTTAAAACAAAGTAACTTGCACTTGGTTGAATGAAAATAGAAGAGAAATTCAAGAGAAATTTTCGAATTTTTCAAGAGAAAAAGTTTTCTTGAGTTAAGAGAGTTTTTCTTCAGGCAAAATATTTTCTTTTACGCTAAAATAAATTCTCTTGCCACTATTTTTTTTTAAGAACGATGACGACTTTAGTTCAAGTCTATCTTTTTTATCAGTGTAGGTCTTGATAATTTCGATTCCAAATATCTCGAGAACCATTACTCGTAGCGATTTTTACCAAGAGATCTTTTTTGCGTAGAATACGTCGTAAATGTATATTTTTTTGCTCAGTAGTTTTATACAGGCACGGACGAAAAGTCATTATTCTTCAAACCAGTTAAAAATATGTAGGTAGCGCCCTCTACAAGTACGAGTCATATTGACATCAAAATCAAATTTCTCATGTCAAAAAACTCCCAGACGCCAATTTTGATTAATATGTTGGAGTTACTTCAGAAATTATTTGAAAATAATCTAAATAAAAATGAAACTTCTACACCATGTATCTCCGAAACTAAGCATTTTAGGACATACAATTATACGAACTTTTTTTATTTATTTTTATCTGCAGAATATGCTGCCGAAGTTTTCGGAATACAGTTCGGACCACCTTGTATGTGATTCCTAATTCGTTTAAATTAATTTAACAGAAAACTTGAAGTCTAAATATGATTTTATTTAATAAAAAAAAACATAAACATAATCTTAGGATAGTATTAAGTCTTACAGCATGCAAACTTACCTGGTGAGGGTGCAGGACACTTAATAACCCTTCCGAAGAAATCCTTCCGAACGGCTGCCTGTAACAGAAAACAGAAAAAGTTATTTACCACCGCCAAGAGATCGTTCTTCGGAATACGGTCTCGCAACAGAAACGATATATCACAATTTCTAACGGGCAAATATCATTTTATAGGTTGATGGCGCCCTAATACTCTCGCCCTTCCACAAATTGATTTCGCCGAAATTGAACTCTCGAACAGGATTTCCTAGTTCGCCAACTCTTATATCAGGAATGATGATTCCCAATTTCGGTTCGACTAGATATTTGTAAGGGCAAAATGGATGTATCAAGCGTAATAGTGGTGGAGAGTTTCTATTATGGGATATTATTAGAATGCAAAATAAGTTATTTATTTTAACAGGATATTTAGTATGGATCTAGGAAAATTGCGTGAAAACAATTGACTTAAAAAGAAAATTACCCGATAAAATAGTTGCCCGAAAAGAAATATATCTCTGAATTATAACTGACGGAAATAAAAATTCCCCGAACTGTCGATTCTTGGTAAAAAATTACTCAAGTACAGGGTGTCCCATTTTGGTTGAAATCATACGGTATCTCCGTTATTAGTGAAGATAGAAGGGTGCGGTTTGCACAAACCTGTCTCACTTTTTTGTCAAACGGAAGATGCCGTAAACAAAATTTTCATAGCCCTCTTCGTTTCCGAGCCTTTTTGAAAATTTTGCAATTTGGGACACCCCCTGTATCTCTGTTATTGTTAAAGCTATCGAGAAGGTGAAAACTGTTTATTGTAGAACTTTTTACGTAGAATGTAGTGGCGTAATCTGTTTTTCTACCAAAAAAATATTTTTGAACATATGAACTAAAGTTATGTTTTTTAAATGGAACACCCTTTATATTTATAAATCATATGATCTGTCTTGCCATAAGCTTCTCAAAAATATATATCGCTCTATATTTATTTTCACTATTTACTGCAATATTTAAAAGTTTTTATTAAAAGATCATATTTATTAGTAGGCCATGATTGATAATAAAAGAAACTAAAAAAATTATTAAAAGTAGACTGCTATCTGTCTCTTGTTTTATTTTGGGAGCCGCTAATAAATTCATTATATATTAGGGAAACTTAACTCTCTACCGCTATTTGTAAATCTTGGAACACGTGTATACGTAAGAATAATCTATCGTATCAGAAATTTTAGATATTCCTTTACCTAATTTACGTGAAATATACTTTCAGCAAGATGGGGAACATTCCCCCTCATAACTATGGAAATATTAGAATACTGTTAAATTATTATTTTTCAAATCAATGAATTGGAACCAATGAACGCATATTGATAGCTTCCTCGATTCCCGGATTTCGCCGTTCTCGATTTCTGATTTTGGGGATTTTTGAAATAGGAAATATATCGTGGGCAGTACAACAATGTCGAACACCTGAAAAATGCTTTAATAATTCAAGATTTAGATATTTGCAAACCCATCCCGTTATAAAAAAAAGAAAAATATATTCACAGTTTCAATGGTAACAGTTATTTCAAAAGTAAAATATATCAATCCCAAATAAATTTTAATATGTGAATGACTATTTTATTAAATACCATTTTAATTTTTTGTTATTTATCACGGCCTACTAATAAGAAAATAATATATTTTAAATATTGCAATAGTGAAAATAAATATAGAGTGATATATATTTTTGAGAAGCTCCTAGCAAGACAGATCATATGATTTATAAATATACAGGGTGTTCCATTTGAAAAAACATAACTTTCATATTTTCAAAAATATTTTTTTGGTAGAAAAACAGACTACGCCACTCTATTCTACGTAAAAAGTTCTACAATAAGCAGTTTTCGCCTTCTCGATACCTTTAACAATAACAGAGATATAGGGGGTGTCCCAAATTGCAAAATTTTTGAAAAGACCCTGTAGCTCAGAAATGAAGAGGGCTATGAAAATTTTGTTTGCAGCATTTTCCGTTTGACGAAAAAGTGGGACAGGTTTGTGCAAACCGCACCCTTCTATCTTCACTAATAACGGAGATACCCTATGATTTCAACCAAAATGGGACACACTGTACAAGACAGTAATTAATTAATAATTAACACACGGCTCAATTAATAATAAAAACCAAACAAAACCAACAAGATATTATTAAAAAATATACAGGGTGTCTCAATATTCCGTGGAAATAGAACAAATACGTATTTTTGGAATTAAAATAAGTTCGTTGGACACAATTTACCTATACAGGGTGGTCCGAACTGTATTCCGGAAACTTCGGCAGAATATTCTGCAGTTAAAAATAAGTAAAAAAGTTCGTATAAATGTATGTTCTAAAATGCTTAGTTTAGGAAATACAGGGTGTTGAAGTTCCATTTTTATTTTGATTTTTTCAAATTAATTTCTGAAGTAACGTCAATATTTGGATGAAAATTGGTGTCTCGGAGTTTTTTGACATGAGAAAGATTTTGATACTCATAGTTGTAGGGGTTGCCAACTACATGTGTTTTAACTATTTTGGAGAGTAATAACTTTTCGTCCGAACCTGTATAAAACTACTGAGTGAAAAAATATAAATTTCCGTCATTTTTCCCGTAAAAAATATCTATTGGTAAAAATCGCTACGAGCAACCATTTTGAAGATATTTGGAATGGAAATAGCCAATACATGTCATTATTGACAAAAAACAAACACGTTGAGTAGATAGTTATTTGACTGAAATAGCCAATTTGGGAAATTTCTATTTTTTAAACTAATCATAAATTTTTCTTCGAAAAAATGATGATAAAACAGCTTCTGTTGAACTTCTGGCACAAAAACACTTCAAATTTATGATTTCAGTCTAATAACCATTTAGTCAATATATTTAATCTATGTCAATGATGGCAGGTATTCATAATTTCGATTCCAAATATCTCTAGAACCATTACTCGTAGCGATTTTTACCAAGAGACTTTTTTTACGTAAAAAACGTCATAAATGTATATTTTTTACTCAGAGATACCAATTTTAATCCAAATATTGACATTACTTCAGAAATGATTTCGAAAAAACGAAATAAAAATGAAATTTCTACACCCTGTATCTCCAAAACTAAGCATTTTATAAATAAACTAGCATGTACCAGCGACTTCGTTCGCGTCAAATTAATCATTTGTAATGGTGATGATAAAGCAAAGCAAGAATTTCCATTAACATACAAACTGGATAAAATTTTCTCACATTTATGTCAGCATGAGAAAAAACAATATGGCGATATTATTATATAACTTAGTAATATTAGAGGAGTAGTTTCATCTCGTTGGAATTTGACTTTCAAAAAATCCGTTTGCCAAAAATAAGCTTTTTACGTCAAGCAGTCAAGCAGTTTAAGCAGAATCGTGGTTAAGAAATTATCCAACTTTTTGGAACACCCTGTAAGATTTTTTTAAAAATTTCAAAATATGTAAAAAAACTAAATAAATTATGCTTGTCTAAGCGTTTTCCCGAAAGACTAACCGTTTTTTAAATAACAAATATTGTAATATTTGAGGGGCGTTTTCACCCACTTAGAATTTGGGATTCGAGAAACCCCTCCTTATCAAACCCCACAGTCAATCCGTTTGTCAAAAATCAGCTTTAAACGTCAAGCAGTTTAAGCAGAATCGTGATTACTCAATGGTCATATTTTATGAAACACCCTGTATAAATTTATAAAAAATCTTAAAATATGTAAAACAACAAAATAAAATATACGTGTTGTTCTTAAATAAAAAATATTTTAATATTTGGGGGATAGTTTCACCCCCTTAGAATTCGAGTTTCGAAAAATCCCTTCTTATCGAACCTCTACACCCTAAAGTCAATCTGTTTTCCAAAAATCAGCTTTTTACGTCAAGCGCTTTAAGCAGGATCGTGATTAATCAATGACCAGATATATACCAAAATATACATGTTTAAGCGTTTTTTCGGAAACTTGACCGTTTTTTAAATAAAAAATATTGTAATATTTGAGGGGTGGTTTCACCCTCTTGGAACTGGAATTTCGAAAAATCCCTTCTTATCGAACCTCTACACCCTAGAATCAACCTGTATGCCAAAATTGAGCTTCTTACGTTGAGTGGTTTGAGCAGGATCGTGATTAATCAGTATGTCAGTCACTTAAGGATTTTATATATTAGTATAGATAATATTATATATTTGTATGAACTTTTTTACTTATTTTTATCTGCAAAATACGCTGAATAAAATAAGTAATAGCTCTATGTCCTCGGAATATAGGAACATCCTGTATCATCTCTTCTAACATCAGCAATATGGTTATGTGTGCATCTTTCCGTAAAAGTATGTTCCTTCAAATTGTGAGCACTGTACTTTCTTTCTGTTTTCCCCTTTTGGAATATTTTTTATAACCAGTAAGTAGTTAATTTATTATCAGTAGCAACCAATTCAATTAAGAAATTTGTTTATAGTTAATTAATTACATTTTTATTCCCGCACTTAGTTTAGAGTTTTACTTAGTTCTTCTAAAACCGGATCAAAATTTTTGTTCTTAAATAACAATTCAATAATACTACAATTATTAATTTTAAATAAAGTTTATTCAGTTTTCCTTTTTTAATAAATATATATTTTTATTATAGTTCCTCTCTGTCTTCTTTGGGATTGATCAGATTTTTTAACGAAGGTCCTAAATCGATAATTTTCTTGAACACATCAAAATTTGATAATCCCTTCATTACTTTTGCTAGTTTTGACATTTTTTCAACCTGTTGAAACTGTTTCACTTGTTCCTGCATTCGCTTTAACTCATCAACGTCTAAATTATTATAATTTACACTTTGTTCACTATTTTTTCCATCACAGTCGTCGCATTTTATTTTTCCTATTTTCGAAAAAGTTTCTACCACATTTTTTCTTACTTCTTCCATAGTATTAGCATCTAATTGTTCTGTGTCCTCTTCTACTGTTACCTCCTCATCTTGAGCATTGTTCATTAGTGCTTCTTTTCTGGCTATGGCTTGACCTTCATCCAATTTCCCAATCCATTCTTGCACTTTATCTTTTGTTATTGTTAAACCTTCTGTTTTCCATTTATCAACAATGTTTTTTGCAATGCCTTTTATTTTTCTCTCCATTTTTGCATCTTTGTTCTGTACACTAGGGTCTTCATTTTGCTCACCAAAGGCTATAACATTACTACACTAATCACTTTGTATTTGGGATTGTTTTAAATATACTTACCTATAGCGAATATCAATAAAAACACAACATATGGTGACATTTTCAGAATCTAGACTAATAAAATTTGGAAAAATATTTTAGTTCAATAAAATTAATTGCTTTCAGATATTTATCAGAAGCAAGGTGTAAAGTTTAATATTTATTTTCTGATAATAGACATTTTATGATATTTTAATATAATACATTATATGACAATTTATTTTGAGGAATGGATTTAAAATTAAAATTTTCAAAAATAAATTCTGATGTATTTTATGGACTCCTACTTCAAAATATTTAAATGAATAATTAATTTTAACAGGGAGCCAATATTTGGACAGTTTAAAATTTGCGTGCGATTTCCTATGTTTCCAACGACGATGCACCACCCGGTATACAGGGTGTCCCAGGCTGAGCGTACATTAGAAGTTTCTAGAGAACCACAATATCTAGATCATGGATTTTTTGCTCATTATTGTTTTACAAAGAGATCTACCGATTAAAAATATTTTCAATATGGCGGACTTCCCGAAATACTGGAAGTTAACAGCAACTTTCTTATTTTAAATGGGTGTGCCCAATTTTTATTACATATGTATGTTAAATTCTCTGTAAAATTGGATGAATATTTATGTTAAACACTTTATACCTAACATTGACCGTTTTTGAGAAAAAAAATATTTAATATTTTTGGACGAAAAACACTACCTTTCAAAAAAATTTGTCTAGCCTAAAAGTCAAATTTAATGATTACCACAGCCACTGTGACATAAAGAGAAGACATGTGGCTATCTATTTCAAAAATTAAATTGTTCAAATTTAATATAGTAATGGCGGTAGCTGTGATGGAATTGAGCGATTATTTTTTTTTTCAAATGTAAACCCACTTTTTTTATTTCACTAGTGAAAAGGTTTTCCAATTCCTTTACTTTTTGAGTATACATGTTCCCATACCAAAAATAAATCGTTTTTAAGTTCTTTATTTAGTTCAAAAACTTATATTTTTTTATTTTATCTAGCTTCCTTTGACATTAAGTGTCAAACAGTCAGACAATTTATTTCCATCTATCAAAAACTAATTATTTGAATTTCCAATATTATAAATACTGCCTCCTTAAGAGCTTAAAAAGTGTATTTATAAAAATATAGCTCGTATTTTCGCTCTTTAGTGATAGCTAATAGTTGATATTATTAATAATTTACTGTATGATCGAAAAACAGTGCAAAGTTGGCTTGGAAATGATGATTGATAACATACTGCTTTTTGAACAAAGTGTCACAATATGACATGGCCAGATCTATTGTTTTACATCACTTGGCGTTTTAGGTCATAGTCTACTGGTTAAAATCAAGAATATACGCTTTAAAACAAAATCTTAAATAACAAAAACAATTTATTTTAGGTATAGAAACACTACTATATACTATAGTAGCCTTTTCACTAGTGAAATAAAAAAGTGGGTCTCGATTAAAAAAAATAATTTATGATAGTTTTTTAATCGCTCAATTCCCATGACAGCTGCGGTCATTATTATAAGACACTAGCGTGTACCAGCGACTTCATTCGCGTCGAATTAATCATTTGTAATGGTGATGATAAAGCAAAGCAAGAATTTCCATTAACATACAAACTGGATAAAATTTTCTCACATTTATGTCAGCGTGAGAAAAAAGGTAACTTGGTAAAAAATATAACTGGGTAATATTTGAGGGGTAGTTTCATCTCGTTGGAATTTGACTTTCGAAAAATCCGTTTGCCAAAAATAAGCTTTTTACGTCAAGCAGTTTAAGCAGAGTCGTGGTTAAAAAATTACCCAATTTTTTGGAACACTCTGTATGATTTTTCAAAAAATTTCAAAATATGTAAAAAAAACAAATAAATTACGCTTGTCCAAGCGTTTTCCCGAAAGACTAACCTTTTTTTTAAATAACAAATATTGTAATATTTGAGGGGCATTTTCACCCTCTTGGAATTTGAGATTCGAGAAACCCCTCCTTATTGAACCTCTACACCCCACAGTCGTTTGCCAAAAAGCAGCTTTAAACGTCAAGCAGTTTAAGCAGAATCGTGATTACTCAATGGTCATATTTTATGAAACACCCTGTATAGATTTATAAAAAATCTTAAAATATGTAAAACAACAAAATAAAATATACGTGTTTAAGAGTTTTTTCCGAAAAACTCACCGGTTTTTAAATAAAAAATATTTTAATATTTGAGGGATAGTTTCACCCCCTTAGAATTCGAGTTTCGAAAAATCCCTTCTTATCGAACCTCTACACCCTAAAGTCAATCTGTTTTTCAAAAATCAGCTTTTTACGTCAAGCGCTTTAAGCAGGATCGTGATTAATCAATGACCAGATTTTTCGAAACACCCTGTATATATTTTTAAAAAATCTTAAAATATGTAAAAAACATAATAAAATATACGTGTTTAAGCGTTTTTTCGGAAACTTGACCGTTTTTTAAATAAAAAAATATTGTAATATTTGAGGGGTGGTTTCACCCTCTTGGAACTGGAATTTCGTAAAATCCCTTCTTATCGAACCTCTACACGCTAGAATCAACCTGTATGCCAAAACTGAGCTTCTTACACTGAGTGGTTTAAGCAGGATCGTGATTAATCAGTATGTCAGTCACTTAAGGATTTTATAATTTAGTATAGACTCTAACAATTTAATTTTTGAAATAGATATATTATATAATATTCATAGAATTTTAGAGAGAATTTAAGTATGCAATAAAAAATGGGAGGGTACCCATTTAAAATAAGTTGTTGTCAACTTCCGGTATTTCCGGAAATGCCGCCATATTGAAAATATTTTTAATCGATAGATCTCGTTGTGAAATAAATATTGTAGTTCTCTAGAAACTTCTATTACACGCTCAGCCTGGGACATCCTGTATATCTCACAGATTATAATATAAAAGATTTTTATTCCGGTTGCTTCAAATACGAGCGCGTCAAAAGACATCTGAAAAATATCTCCCGGATTTATCCAGATACCGGCATTAACCCATTTCGCCAAATGAAAACGCCGTAATAAAGTTGCGACTGGTTAAGTTTTAACGTTGACAAATGCAACCGGCTCCGGGCGAAACTCCGGGGATTCGCCTAATCTGACAAACAATGGAGCGGCGCTGAAAACGGACTTCACCGGAGTCGCGCTAAGACTGCAATCTAGCCGGGTCATCTTTCATTATATTCCGATCTCCTTTGTCTGATAGTGTTATTCCGGTCGAGGATTTAAGTAATCCACCGTATCTAAGGAATAAAAATAGTCTCCGGAAAAATAAGTGGCTTATAAAATAAAAATGTGACCTGTTTATGCGAGTTCAGTCAATATTATACTTTTCTTTGACTATAAAAATTAAACAAACCAAAGTATAGTTATAACGATAAAAACATACCCTAAACGAACACAAATACCCTAAAATCATGTGCACTCCCCCGGAAGATCACAACAATGCTATAAAAATCGGAGAAGAACCATTGGAATATGTAGCGGAATTCAATTACCTCGGCAGTTTGATTTCGGAAAAAGCCAATATCGACTCTGTGACAAATCTTTTCGGATTGATCACTTTTCTATGGGTAGCGTGACTATTTTATAATTATAAAAAAACAATTAAGTTGAGCGGAAGGTAAACTTGGATAAAAAGTACACCGACTCTTTGGGGCGTATGTTTAATGCTTTGTCTTGATGATATTAGTCTCTCAAATCTACTATAACTTACCTTAATTGCGGCCCAACCTCTGTCTCTAAATCTGTAGCTCATTTCTCGAGACTTTTCTGGACTGCTCTGGAGATATTCTGCCCGTTCATAAGGATCTTATTTATATACTTTTAAAACACTCTTGGTTATTTTTACTATAGAAATAAAACTGCCGACTTTTCAGAAAACATTTAAATTTAATATTAAAAAAAAAATAAAGAACAAAAAAGAAATATATATAAAAAATTAAGTCACTTATTATTACTCAGAATAAAAAAAAGATGGAAAAAATACAAGAAAATTATCTAGCGTCTGCTTTTATTGAAAAATATGATAATTATATAATCAACCTTTCATTACTAAATCTTGCTACAACATATTAAAATAATTTTAACCTAACCTAAAACATAACTATTAGCAGACACCAGACTTAAAAATAAAACATGTTATCAAGGGTGGTTATTGGTTTTACAACGTCTCAACGTTTTTATCTAAGGTCTATCTTTACAATTTTTCTATTTACTTCTAAGTTCTACAGTTTATTTGCTTTATCCTTCTATAAAAAAATATACTTAAACCATTAAATTCTATGCAAAAAGGTGCTTTGGAAATGTTTTCACAAAAATACAAAATTTTCCATAGCAAAAAAGTTACAGCGATTTAACCCACCCTGTACGTATAAAGTATATAAAATTATTGTAGCACTACTGACTGTGTTGGGTAACTGTTAAAAATATCTAATAATTAATAAACAATTATGTAAAATTCTGAGTTATTTATTAAAACGCCAAAAAATACATTTGTATGTTAATCATTATCCTTTTTAATAAATCCTTCTTAGAAGTTGGTGATGGTGATAGAGGAAGAAGCGCTTTTAGCATTGGCTTGTTCGATGAGGACCTGCAATTTCTGGAAGCAGCGGGCGCAGGCGTTAATGTCATTGGCGTCAGTGGATGGGCTGCTGCTCTCGTTGGAGGGAGCTTTTTCTTCAATGGGGAGGATGGAAGATTCCTGGTCTTCTTCGGCGGCAGATCCGGGCAAGTTAACCAAAACTTCTTGCAAAAGCTGTCTCACGTATTTGACGCAAGCTGGGGTAGATTCGGCTTGTTCGGTTGCTGGGAGGTGTCCAATGACGGCATCGTTGCCGACGGAAAGGCCAGAGTCGAGCGATGGGACACCGGGAAGGTGGCTGATGATGGCACCAGATTCTAAACCTGGGAGATGGCTGATAATGGCACCAGATTCTACACCTGGGAGATGGCTGATGATGGCACCAGATTCTACACCTGGGAGATGGCTGATAATAGCACCAGATTCTACACCTGGGAGATGGCTGATGATGGCGCCAGATTCAACACTGGGTAAGTGACCGAAAACTGGAGCGTCGCTTTCAACAGATGGAACTCCTGGGAGATGGCTGATGATGGCACCAGATTCAACACTGGGTAAGTGTCCATAGACGGGAGCGTCGCTTTCAACAGATTCTACACCTGGGAGATGGCTGATGATGGCACCAGATTCAACACTGGGTAAGTGTGCAAAAACAGGAGCGTCGCTTTCAACAGATGGAACTCCTGGGAGATGGCTGATGATAGCACCAGCTTCCACACTGGGTAAGTGTCCATAGACGGGAGCCTCAACTTCAGATTTGATAATACCGCCGGGTAACACGCTGAATACTGGAGCGTTTTCGCTTTCAACAGCCTCTTCATAATATGGGATACCAGCAGGGAGGTTACTGAAAGATGGAACATTTCCGCTTTCAAGAGAAGGCAAGTGGCTGAAAACTGGAGCATCCTCGCTTTGGACATCAGCGGGTTGGTTTGAGATTTCAACGGGTGTACCGACGATTTGGATGCCAGAAGGTAAGTTACTAATAGCAATTGGAGTGTCAACGATTTGGATACCAGCGGGAAGGTTGGTCAAATGGGCATCTCCGGCGGGTAAAGCAAACCCTTGAGAAATAAATAATTTTAATAACAATATTATAGAATTTACATTTACTTACCGTGGGCAAGCGCCAAAGCCAAAACAATGAATACTTTCATTTTGCGATGTTTCTAGAGCTGTTACCAAATACTCAATGTTCACTAAGGGAGAATTGTCACAATTTATATGAAGAAGATTTGATATATTTTATACGTCACACTGATAAGAACTAAAGCAGACGTTGTACATTTTACCAAAAAAAAATGATATCCTTTTATTAATCCTTAATTGGGGTGCAATAAACCGAAAGACTAAATATTATACCGTAGTGAGATTAAATGTTTTGAAAGGATTAAATAGTATCCTTATTGGTAATTGGCAATAAAACAGTAATTACGTTACATTACAATTATTATCAGTAGTAATAGGATTTAATTTCTGACCACTCACTCTAGGATCAAAGATTAGACTTTACTAAGTTAAAATAAAGGGTTATTTAAAATAATTATAAGCAATATGTATAATTGTCGATTTAAAACATATTATGTTGCATATTGCATAATTAGGCATATAGTTAATGTTGATAATCATTATTTATTAAAATTAATTGATATAAAATTGTTATTCTATTAAGGTTGTATTGCGTTGAAAATCTGTATTAACCAACTTGGTAGTGGGTACACTACGGTAAGGATCAGTTCCTGAAAAAAAAATATCGTTTAAATACGAAAAGGTTTATTAAATTCCAAAATGTTCATAATAAAAAGATGATTGGCCATTGTTAATGGAGTATAATGTTGAAACATATTTTGTAAATGAACTATGGATCTTCAGAGAGTTTCGTTATTTTTCTGCGACACAAATGATATTGAATGACGGATGAGTGACAGACAAACCAGAAAAACAGCATTTTTTCGCTGGTTAATTTGGTAACAATAATGGCACAATGAAAACAATATTTTTCAGAAAGAGTGTTTAGTAGCAAGAGAATTATAAGCATCTCATAGGAACGAGACAGGAAAACCATACCCAACTTTAGAAACTGGATACAACCTAAATTAATATATGTATATTTAGAATTATTTCAGATTGAATTTACATAACTATTATAGAGCATGTAAATATAATTATTGCAGAAATTAAAATAACATAAGCATAATGATGTGTAATTAAAAAGCAGTATTGTATTTGTATATTTTTCTTATCTTGTATAAAACAGAAATAAAATAAAGAATTAAAGTAATTTCAACTAAAGTCTCCTATTTCCTGTCAGGGATAATCTGAACGTGACCTTCTTTATTTAGGCGGCATCCGAACCGCGGTCCTGCTATATAAAAACCTACCGATTTAGCGTGTCTCTAAATCGACTCTTACTCGCGAGATTACTTCGATCTCATCCGTTTTGTACCAGCCGGAAATAAGCAGCGCGTCTCAGTAGATTATACCTTCTTGTCTTGGAACATTAATATGACCATCGTCAAAAGTCGCTTAAAAAAACTGTAACTATAATCAAAAGTATTAAAAGAGCATATATAGAATATTTATAGAACAATACACATACGACCTACTGGATAACACGGTTTTTGAAATATTCTATGATCATACTCGTATTATAAACGAAAAAAAAAAACGACTGCGGCAGGGTTGGCTTCGAAAAAAAGCTTGGTGTCGTTTTATATATAAAATTATATGGTGGGTGTACATGGTCACCATTGCCAACCCAACTTGGCGCAGTATTTTTGCGATTAAAGGTATATATTTACTCTACTTATATCCCATATAAGAATGTTTTTTTTAACTAAAAATGTTGTTTCATTTGCAAGCGTAATTTTTTTCTTGATTTTATCTAGCTTCCTTTGACATTAAGATTACAATTTATTTCCTTCTGTCAAAAAACTAACTATTTGAATTTCGTATATTATAAATACTGCCTTATAAAGCTTTATAAAGTGTATTTATAAAAATATTCTCGTATTTTAGTGATAGCTAATGGCAATATAACATGGTCAGATATAGTTGTACATCGCGTGACGTTTAAAGTCATAAGCTACTGGTTAAAAAACCAAAAAATATACCCTTTAAAACTAAATCTTAAATAACTTCAAAACGATTTATTTTATGTATAGGAACATGATAATCAAAAAGTAACGAATTAAAAAACCTTTTCACAAGTGAAATAAAAAAGTAGATTTCCGTTTAAAAAAATGATTTATGATAATTTTTTAATCGCTCAATTCCATGACAGCTACGGCCAATATTATATGACATTTGAACAATTTAGTTTTTGAAACAGATAGGCACATGTCTTCTCTTTATGCCACAGTGGCTGTGGTAATCGCTAAATTTGTCGTTTAGGTATACAGATTATTTTGACAGGCAGTTTTTTTCCTTCAAAAATTTTGAATATATTTTTTTCTCAAAAACGGTCAATGTTGGGTATAGAGTGTTTGATATCAAAACATAAAATTTTACAGAGAATTTAAGTATGTAATAAAAAATGAGCGTTTCCAGAAGTGCCGCCATATTGAAAATATTTTTAATCGATAGATCTCGTTGTGAAACAGTAATGTGCAAAAAAATCTCTGATCTAGCTATTGTAGTTCTCTATATAGAAACTTCTAATACACGATCAGGCTGGAACACCCTGTATATTTCAATATCTTTCTAAATTTGAATATTCTAGTTTCCCATTAATTAATTTTTTGCTATGAAAATTGTTGCTATTGTTAACCAAAATATGCTTGAAAGAACTTCTTTTGACCACACTGTATTTTTAAAAATGATCTTAACCACAAAAAATCAGTACATTAGTACGAAACTAATACTACTTTATTAAAACTTAAAAACTCCTTTTTAGGGTTCCGTACCCAAGGGGTAAAAACGGGAACCCTATTACTAAGATTTCGCTATCCGTCCGTCCGCTCGTCTGTCACAAAGGTCTATCTTATGAACTGTTATAGCTTCGCTGTCCGTCCGTCTGTCACAAAGCTCTATCTTATGAACCGTTATAGCTAAACAGTTGAAATTTTTACAGATAATGTATCTATGTTGCCGCTATAAGAACAAATACTAAAAACAGAATTAAATAAATGTTTATAAATAAAAAAGTACTTTCACTAAACATTATCTTTTGAGTAAGAATTTTACATAGAATCTTTCAAGTCCTCGGTGGCCGCGTGGTTTAAAGCGTTAGGACTTTACGCTGCTATGACGTTGGAGCCGTAGTAAGACAGGTTCGAATCCTAGTCAAGGCGACTTTTTTTTAAACATTTTTTTTTAATTTTTACTTATACGCGCATTCAAAATTTCAGCTAAATCGGAAAAAATGTTTATAATAATATAGTATCTAATGTTGTATAGATAATAAATGGTACGGAACCCTTCGTGCGCGAGTCCGACTCGCACTTGACCATTTTTTTAGTATACAGGGTTGTTCACCACATACCACACGGAATATTGTAGCTAAACGATTAGATTTTTACAAATTGTAAGTTTTGGGTTCGTTGAAGGTGTATTAGAGCTACAATTTAAAAATATTTTTACAAGATACAGAGTGTCCCAAATAAGTAAAAAATATTATAGTTGTATTTTTTTAAATGGAACACCTTGTATATTATTCTATTTTTAAATTCTACGGTTGAAATAAAGGTAAATTTGATTAAGGTTTATCACACTTAAACCTTACCGTTTTTGAAATATTTTCATTTTTATGAAATTGCAGTAAAAAAATTAAGGCTTTATTTCTCCAAGGGTATAAAAGTTTTTAATACTAAATATTTACTGAAGATTATTTATTGATCAGATATTGTGTTGCAATAATAAAAATTTTACTACCTTATACAGAGTGTCCAAAAATTTATATTAAATAATTACTAGCTTTAAACGGCAATAACTTGTTTAATTTAAATGGAACACCCTATATATTTTACGTGAATCAGATGCACAATGTAGTGATCTATCAAATTGTATTGTTCCATTTTTTACCCATCTCTTCAAGTTTTCATAGAAAATGCATTTTCTTATAATTTAGGCCTCATTTATCACTATACCCATGGAATATTGACATTTTAGCTTATTTTTAACGATGTGACAAATTTTCAAAGGGCACAGATACTAATATTGTCGATATAGTTCGCTTAGTTAATTAAAAAATAAAAATAAAACTGTTTAAATATTTTTTGTTAAAGAGGACCAATTAATATGATCCCAGTATTCAAACTACATTAAATTGACTGTTTACGTTAAAGTAATGTTCCAAATACTAAAAAACTGAATTTTATGTGTGTATTAGACAGTGTGGTAAAAAGTAACACCTTATAAATTTTATTTCATTTATTGACGAATGCTTATTTATAAAAACAGAGACATTCATTTTCATAACTTATTATTATATTGATTTCTGAGCCAAATCCACATTTATTTAGAATAATTTATTTATTAGTGTTTTTTGTAGGAAATAATGGTGATATATTTAATTGGTATACTCTTTTACAAAGATTTAAATAGTTTTTTTGTATGCCAATGGGCTTGCAATATTTACCACCTGTACATTTTGTACATATTATGGTGCTATAAAAAAATCTGAAATGTCAATATTCCATGGGTATAGTGATAAATGAGGTCAAAATTATAAGAAAATGCATTTTCTACGAAAACTTCAAGAGATGGGTAAAAAATGGTATAATACAATTTCATAGACAATTACATTGTACATCTGATTCACGTAAAATATACAGGGTGTTCCATTTAAATTAAACAAGTTATTGCCGTTTAAAGCTAGTAATTATTTAATATAAATTTTTGGACACTCTGTATAAGGTAGTAAAATTTTTATTATTGCAACACAATATCTGATCAATAAATAATCTTCAGTAAATATTTAGTATTAAAAACTTTGATACCCTGGGAGAAATAAAGCCTTAAAATTTTTACTACAATTTCATAAAATTGAAAATATTTCAAAAACGGTAAGGTTTAAGTGTGATAAACCTTAATCAAATGTACCTTTATTTCAATCGTAGAATCCAAAAATAGAATAATATACAGGGTGTTCCATTTAAAAAAATACAACTATAATATTTTTTACTTATTTGGGACTCTGTATCTTGTAAAAATATTTTTAAATTGTAGCTCTAATAGACCTTCAACGAACCCAAACTTACAATTTGTAAAAATCTAATCGTTTAGCTACAATACTCCGTGTGGTATGTGGTGAACAACCCTGTATATTAAAGGCATATTTAATTTAGCACTCAGATATGGTATTTTGTCACTTGTTTATGTCCCTTTAATGCATATTGTATTGCTTATTTCAAAATCCTGCTAGTCATCGAGATAAGTAAAATACCATAAATGTATATTATAAAACGTCTATATTGGCACCATCAATCTTATTTCGAAAAATATCATATACGACAAAAGAAATAGAGAAACGTAACATTCTGTCTTAATTTTATCACTTTAGATCGTATTTGGGAAATAAATAATAAAGTATCCACCAGTAAACCCTACCACCATCTGCATATATTTACTAAAACTTAAAGAACTAAATACAAAACATTTTTTAGTCACTTATGAAACTGTCCCAGGAGTGAATAATTCATTATCAGGAATCAACTATTCAAGCTTTCCTTATTACGTTTTATCTACACACCACCAATAAACATTCTCAATTCCTTATCGAACCACAATACTAAATTAATTTATCCAATAATAAAACTCAGTGATTAGAACGCCTTAGCCGAATTAAGAACTATATAAATTGAGTAATCTCGCCGCGCGATTACATTATATATAGACTTGGAAAAATCAAGTTTCAACTACAGTTCCGCCAAATCAAAACAATGAGGTCGATAATAGTTTTGTTCGTTGCTCTAGCCCTTGTCTCAGGTAAATATTAAACGATAATAACTTTCCAAATATTTACTTTTTTCTTTCGGATATAGTCCAAGTTTCTGCTGACACAAATGGATGGTTTGGACCAATAATTTCCAACTTATTACCAAGTCCAGAATCTGACACCCCAGAACTCAGCGACAATTTTCCCATTTTCAACGAACAAAAGTCAGAAGACGAGGATTATGCGTCTGCTACCGATTTTCCCGTTGAAGAATTAACAACAGAAGAAATCGATGCAACAACTGCAGTGGCTGAAGAAGAAGATGGAGAGATCGGACAAAACAACCCCACGGAAGCTGAGGAAGAAGTATCCACCGAAGAAGCAGTTGAAGCCGAAGAAGAAGTTATTGACAGCGAGGCGGTGTGCCAAGAGTGCTTCGAGAAAATTTTGAACTTGATATACAGCATCCAAAAATCCTTGTAGATAGTAAAAATGTATCTAGTATAGTAAATAAATGAATATGCATGTCATTCCACTGGATTTATTTAAATATTTTCCATATATTTTTGTGATATATCAGGTAATAATATATGTATTAAAAAATCTCTTAATTTATTTGAAATAAAGGTGCTTAAATTCGGAATAAAAATAAATATTATTTCAGACAGTTTGTTTTTGTAACAAGACTATTTCAGTAATTAATAAAAGTATACTATTTATGTAATTTACGACATTCGTTATTTTCTAAACATATAAGAATATAAGAAAATAAGTGCCATAAAAATTATATAATAAAACAACAAAATATTTTAAAGGATACTAACAAAAACATGAGTTAGAGATATTAATTTAAAATAAAACAAAACAAAAACAAAACAACGCTTTATTGTATTAAAAGCCAAAACAGCTTCATCGACAAAGCACTCACAAACAACAAAATCACAAAAAAAAATACAAACAACAAAAAATACACAATACAAATAATACAATTCAAAAAAATTTAAGTCTTTAAAATTACAAAAAGAATATAGATGGACAATTTTAGAACAGTAGGCAGTAAATAGATATAGTTTTAGAGTTATAGAATATTAAATACTTGACCTTTGACCAGTTTGTGAGATGATCAAAATTTTAAAATTCAAAATTGTTCATAATTAAACATCAACAAAAAAGTCGTTTACCGCATATCTCCAGTAAGTATGATTTTAGAGCTTTGCGAAATGCGGGAAAGAATGAAAGCGACTTGATATTCAAAGGCAGATGATCGTACATTTTTTTGGCATTGAACAGTATTGAACCTTTAACTAGTTCTGAGCTCGGGGTTGGCAGATAAAGATCGTGCTCTGCATTCCTAAGTGAATAGTTATGAGATGGCCTTTCGGGAATAGCAGATATGTGCTTGCGGATTAAGCAAACGGATTCAAAACTGAATAAAGAAGGAAGAGTCAGTATTTTCAAATTTTTAAAGAAAATCTGGCAGTGAGTTCTATTGAATTTATGTTATTTTGTATATTATATACTATACTTATCGAATAAAAAGTAGGTGTCGCTGTCACTTTCTACACAAAATTAATTGGTATATGTCATCGATCGTCATTTCCAAGCCAACTTGAGAGATCGCGGGAAAGAGCATAACGGAAGTGATCAGTTTCTTCAATGACACTGAATAGTTTTAAACTACAACACTTACCAATCCAATAATTGTATCATCCCCAGGAGTGTGAATTAATGGTTTAATGTCCAAGTTTCATAGCCGTATGTGATAATCGTTGAAGAATTCATTATCATCATCAAATTTTAGATTCTATACCTCTATCTTCAAACACTTGTTCAAATCCAATTTGCTGCATTCTACTTCATCTGTGATTATAAAGAGCTGGCAAGTAGACAGTAGGTAAACGTAGACTTTGGAATTTTTAATAGCCTTTCTAAGAATAAAGATTTGTAAGAATATTATGTACAATACACACAACCAAACGTATATGGAATCACTTTTTATTTCTGACTAAATTTCTTGCACAGAAAAAAATTGGTATACATGATAATTTAGAATACATGACTGCTGGGAATTTTTTTTAATTTTGTGTTCAGTAGTAAAATCACGATTGTCCGATAATTTTCACGATCCAAAAAATAAAAAAAATGCCTTATATTAGATTAAAAGATGTACAGAAGGGAAAAACTATTGTTCTCATTGAAGAAGGAATGCCCCAAAGAGACGTAGCAGAGATAGTTGGCGTTACCCAGGGTATTGACTGTATCGAAAACATATACCTTCAACATCAAAACTGGACAACTGAGACTTGGCAAAATGTTCTTTTTTCGGATGAGACCAGAATTGGCCTAAGATCAGATGACCATCGAATGCGGGTTCTCAGAGCTCCAAAAAGACGAGCGAAACTCCAAGCTGCGAAGTCTGTACCAAGATATAAAAGAGGAACTGTAATGTTCTGGAGAGGTATTATGCTGGGAGCAAAAACTCTATTGGTACCACTTCAACAAACTTTAACAGGTCGAAAGTATGTTGATTTAGTACTAGAACCAATCATTAGTCTGTGGAGAGCTGCAATTGGGGATAATTTTAACTTCATGGACGATGATATTGCACCTCCCCATACCAGCAGAGTGACTATAGAATGTCTTGAAACGGATGGTGTCTTAGTTTTGGACTGGCCTGCATGTTCACCATATCTAAACTCTATCAAACACTTGTGAGACCAGCTCAAAAGAAGGGTTAGAGCTCGTCGAAACAATCCAGAAAATATCGCACAACTTATTGATGCAACAGTAGCAGAATGGGAAAATACCCCAAGACTTAACGTTGATAATTTGCAAAAGATTTGCATAAGAACTAGAAGGTTGCAACAAGGATTGATAAAATTATCAAATTTCTTTTGTTTCTGCTTTTGGTTATTAAAAATGTAAATCTTAATTTCGTTTTAAGAAACCAAAAAAATACCATTTGTCTATTTTAGCAACTAGTTTTTATTTTTTTATAGCTATATGGATTATTTTCATTAAAGTCATTGAAATAAGGACTGAGTTTTATTTATATACACAAAATTTTCATACCTCTCAAAAATATAGATTATTCCATATAAGCTTGGTTGTGTGTATATTGAGCTGTAGACACTTAAGCACAATAGGAAGTACAATAGGCTCCAAGTCTTGTATATATGTTTTTTTCCATAAACCATAACTATGACCGTCCTATGCCGGAAACATGTAAAGCCTATTGTGTTTGTCTCCTTCCTGTGTCTGCACCCAGTCTCTTATACTGTGTCCTGCTTACACTGTGTTACTGCAGTACGTCATCCGTTTGGGTATTCCCAATACTAACTCTGGACCAAGATAGAATTACGGATAGATGATCCTTGCCTTGCTAGTTCGTCGGCTTTTTCGTTATCTTGGATGCCGCTATGGCCTGACACCTACATAGTTTTATTCTTTTCCTTTCTTCCAAAACTCCAAGCTCATCCAGACATTCCTACATAACACGAGTCTAGATGACACCTTTGGGCTTGTAATTTAATCTGTACAACTTTTAGGTTTATATATAGTATATAGTACTTTTAAGATTCTTACAAAATATCGTTGAAATGATTATAGTAACAATCTAAGTTAACAGTTTTTTATAGTTTAAGGTCTAATAATAAATAAAGAGTTTTAACTAATAAGGAAATGGGATACGTTAGTAAAAACATAGTTTAAGCTGTTAGTGCAATTTATTAAATATCAATCAAAAAATTCATTTAACGTAACGTCTTAGTTAGCAACAACTTCTTGCAAAGCAGACACCAACAATTTCATTTGTCCAAAGCAAACGGCGCATGGGTCTTGTTCAACTTGTACTCCGGGAAGGTGAGAGAACGATGGAGAGTCGGATTCAGCAACAAGTCCAGGAAGGTGAGAGAAAGATGGTGAGTCGGATTCAGGTACTAGTCCAGGAAGGTGAGAGAAAGATGGAGAGTCTGATTCAGCTACTAGTCCAGGAAGGTGAGAGAAAGATGGTGAGTCTGATTCAGCAACTAGTCCAGGAAGGTGAGAGAAAGATGGAGAGTCGGATTCAACCTGTAATCCAGGCAGGTGTTGGATTGAAGGAACGTCGGATTCAACTTGGATTCCACCAGGAAGGACTTGGAATGATGGGCTGTTTTCAGATTCAACTGGAACCAAGCCAGGAAGGACTTGGAATGATGGACTGTTCTCAGATTCGATTTGGATTCCGCCGGGGAGGACTTGGAATGTTGGAGCGTCTTCGGATTCAACCTGTACTGCAGGAAGGTGTTGGATTGATACGCCAGCCTGAGGCACCTTTTAATAAAAAGATTAAATAAAGAAAATTAATAAGGAAAAACCAAAAAACTAACTATATTGATACTTACCTACGGCAAAAACAGCAACAGCCAAAACTACGAACTTCAGCATGGTGAAAAAGTTTATTTTTTTTCTGATCTAAGACCGTTACACACTGAAAGTCGATGTGTATGTATAATTTCTCATCTTCATCGGACTCTATATATACTGTTTTAGTAGATTAAGATTTTGTGATATCCTTACAGCTCATTAAATCAGGATGATAAAGATAATCCATGAGAATTTTCTAAGCAATCGAAAGTGGATTAAAGTCTTATATAATTTTTTATATAATAAAATGTGATAGTAGACAAATAAATAATAAATGTTTGTCATCTATATTTAATAAAAATTTGTACAAGACACTTTTTAATGTCCTGTATAATTAGGTTATTATATATATTATTTTTTAAAACACTAGCTGACTCGGCAAACGTTGTTTTGCCATATAAATATTATTTTTATGGGACAACAGTAATTTTTATTCCACGAGGGTTAAAAATTATTGAATTACTAATATCGCTATTAAAATAGGGGTTGATGGTTGGAGGGTGAAAATTAAGGGTTGTATGTATTTTTAATGCCACGTCATAAAAAAATAAAAATATCTAAAAAATTGGGATTGGCTACCCTTATCACTTCGGGGAATAAAAATAGATTACAACCTACTCTCAGACCTACTGAATATACATATATAAAATTTCATCAGAATCGGTCAAGCCTTTTCGGAGGAGTATGGTAACTAAAACTGTGACGCGAGAATTTTAAGGTGCGTATTCATTATCCGAACAGACGAACGAACGAATGAAAGTGCGGTATTTAGACGGGGACCGAACGCATGCGGCCGTTCGTTCGTTCGTTCGGATAATGAATACGCACCTTAAAATTCTCGCGTCACAGTTTTGAATTTCCTTACTCCTCCGAAAAAGCTTACGACCGATTACGAAATTTATATGTATATTCGGTAGCAGGTCTGAGAATAGGTTGTAATCTATTTTTTATTCCCCAGTAGATATGTTTTTTATTTTTATTTTTTATGACATTGGCATTAAAAATACATACAACAAATTTTCCACCCTTATACCATCAACCCCTAATAGCGATATTAGTAATTAATAATTTTTTAATTTTTTTTTTTTTTTTTTTTTTTTTTTTTTTTTTTTAATATCTTCTTTTCGATTTTCTTGAAAGGCAGTTATTACATGACGGGGAGCTTCAATTTACTAGTTGTTTTTACAGGCCATGTGTGTCGTGTTGTTTCAGTTAGCGAAGAGTATTCAATAAGTTCCCAACTTCTAAATCCAGTTAGTATATCTTTATTTGACTCCAGTATTCTAGTGAGAGCTAGTTGTTGTGGTATACCAACTAGAATCAACTAGTGCGGTACTTTCCAATAGATTTTATCAAAAGAAACCTTTGGACTTTCTAAAGTTGTAGATGGAGGTGTTACATCATCCTTAAAGAAAACTCCATCTACATCATTATTAGATCTGATAAGAACCAACTCTTGTGTCATATTAATTATATTTTCTGTAATCTTCAAAGAATCCCATTAGCAGTTTTAGTGGTATAGATCGGAGAATTTTCCATTCTCATCAACTAAAATTCTATCCTCTTCTTTTCTATGTGGAAACCAACCTGCATTTTGCAATTTTAAGCTTTCATTT